ATGCGATAGCAAGTGAGAAGCTTTCTCGTTTTGGCGTCCATTCGCTTAATTTCAGCTATGGTCCAGTTAAGGACATTAAAGCTGTATTGCACCACAGGGACAGCCAATGTGTTTATGGCTGATATCCTGTTTTTTGAGTTTAGCTCAGTATTTAGTACCAGACGTACACGCCTGTAGTACTATTTTTTTTTTTTTTTCCTTCATTTGGGGGTGTTGTATGCCATCTCCTTCGCTAATTCCTAGGTACTTATAAGCTTCATCATTATTATTATTATTATGACAAAATTATTATTATTATTATTATTATTATTATTATTTCCTTGAATTTCTGAAAGTTACACTCATTTTATGTCCCAAATGTGCTATAAACTCCAGAAATGGCATCACTGAAGACATTTTTTCATTGAGCATTTTGTCTTGTCGTTTTTGGCAAATACTAAATCATTTTAGAAAGATTGAATATTTTTTTTACCGCCTCCTTCGAGGTTTTGTTTTTTAGGGGTGTTGTGGGATTAAGGAAAAAACAAAAATTCCTATATCAGAACGTTTTCCAATCAAAACCAACATACCAACCACAACTGGAATTGCTGATGTCTTCAAGTGCCACATTTTTTAGATTTCCACTTTAAGATCCTTGTATTATGATAGTTTTTTCATAGATATGAGTTTTTTCATAGATATGAGTTTTTTCATAGATATGAGTTTTTTCATAGATATATCACAGTCTGCAGTTTCTTTGGGGGGTTTTTTCTGACCAATTAACTTTGATTGTTCTGTCTGGGTGTATTTTAAAGTCCCATAAAATTCTTACAAATATTCTTAATTCTGTAACCGAAGGAGGCTGGGTGGGGTATTCACATCAATTTCTTGCAGTTTCCTTCTCCCAAAAAAGTTTCAGATTTTCCAGTGTAGATATAGACCTACCCTGTCACGCCGAGTTATATATTCAATGCATTTTGAATACTGTGCAACCTGATGCAGGATGGTCAAATTTTTTTCTGTATATTCATCGCATAATCTGCATTTCCAGTTGACACAATTCTTCAGTATGTTTACTTAATAATTTATAGTTAGCAAGCATTGGTCCGATGCAGCAAGCATAAAACCTTCAGTTTGTAGGAACATTAATAATAATAATATTAATAATAATAATAATAATAATAATAATAATCACCTAATACAAGGCCATAGAGCCACTCAAGGTAGAATTTTACTGAATGATGTTGTCCTATGGACGTAGGGGGGAGTAAGAAAGAAGAAAATGCAGATTATGAGGATATATAAAAAAGACAACGGTTGATAGATAATGGTTGATAAATATTAGCTGATAGATAATGCCTGATAGATATTGGTTGATAGACAATGCTTGATAGATAATGCTTGATAGATAATGATTGATAGATAATGATTGATCCAAATCTTGAAGTGTTTAAGAATATAGTGATCAAGGAAGTAATCATGTTTTATGTTTTTGTTTCGTAAAAAAATATTTTAATTTAAATATATTTTGGGGTTTTCTTTGTACTTATTTTATGAAATAAAAATTATGGACTTTATCCACATATAAAACACTTTATTCACATATAAAACACTTTATTCACATATAAAATATACAGATATTTTAAAAGCTATTATTTATTCTAAAAATATAATGTCAGTCATGATTTTAGAGAAATGATACAGTTCAGTTGAATAGCACTGCTTAGGGGGTAACATTTGCCAGGGTCCCAGCTATGAGCAAATACTTACCCCACAAAAGGTGATCAAATCACTATGAAAGTATAAAGATAGGTTTTAATACCAGCAATACGTGTTTTGAAAATTTTTTACCAGCAATACATTTTTGAAAAAAATATTAGCAGCAATAAAAATCTTGTCGGTATAATATAACCCATTGAGGTGTTGATATGCCGTAGAACAAACCTTTGTTTGGTTTGTTCTACGAAAGAAACAAAAACGTGAGGGGATGAAACCCTTAAGTCCTCCCTATAGCGACGTCGAAATTAATTGAGTACAGTATTTAATAAATAGTTATTCATCTTCGAAATATTGATAAAAAGTTATTCACAGTCAAAAATGAAACTTTTTTTTTTTTTGTACAGAAATTGATTTAAAGACCTCTTTTTATTTGGGTGCCATATCCTAATCATTAAGCTATGACATTCTTTATTATATTTTTAGTTTTCTATTCTCGTCTTGTGTTGGCATGTAAAAGAAGGAACCTCACTCAATCTATTTTGCTTCTTGGCTCGAATTCGATTTGAGGATCCTCAGTTTCATTTTCAATTGTACGTCGAAATCTAAAATTTGAGCCGTTTCCAATTTTTCAGAGGTTCTGGAAGACAAAACCGAACACTTCCGGAGGGGTCCAACGCGGAAGCGACATTCTGCTGCTAGTTCGGCCATCATTAGTTCAAACTTCAGTGGCTGACTGAGAAAAGTTATCGAAGTATTGTCAATAAACATAGCTAGTTTGTGGCAATATGGCACTGGATTTATTATTACCATTTAATAATCGTCCTGCATAAATAAAATGCATCAAATATATGGAAAGTTTAGATTAGTGTAATACAAGACCACGACTTTGGGCACCATATTTTTATTTCAAAGTATTTATTTAATAAATTTTGATAATCTCGTTTACTAATAAAATAAACCTTTCAGTATTCGAGATGTACATTAATTACATTATTCGGACTATCGTCCTCATCTTTGTCGCCATATTTATTACAACGTTTCGGTCGTTGTACACTCCGGCCTTCTTCAGATGTTTGAAATGTCGAACTTAACCCATTATTTCGCTCACTAGGGTAGACTGTTCTAGTTCCACGTGCCAAAACAAACACAACATAACACACAAACATAAAACACATGCATAACAAATATATATATATATATATGTGTGTAATTGATTATGATGAGTAAATTGTCGCCATTTTAGATGTCGCTCATGTGCGTTGTTTTTGAAATCAACTGCAGAGCATGAATAGGGAAAGTTGGGTGGAGGTACCATCTGTGATAAAACGAGCACGATGACGCACTTCACTCAATGAGATGTTTGGAAATAGAATGCTGTACTGCTTGGCATTCGCACCATAAGCTCTAATACGAACATCAATCTGAAGACAATGCAGGGGAGTTGGTAAGAGTTGGATGAGTCTAAGGGTGATTACGAAGTTGTTGGAGCGATCACCAGGAATGGCGACGTCATGCTTCCATTCATTTTCCCACAGGGCCTCAGATTCAACAGTTGAGCCAACTTCAGAGTGGATATATGGAAATTTAAACAAATATATTTAAATTAAAGATGATATTCTGTTATGCTGACATAGAAGATTGCTATTCGACAATAACGGTTGCGGAAAAGCAGACCATGGTCGTAAATTTGAGATGCTTATATCAAGAAACAGCATAAGAAATAACCGAATGTTGGATAGTTTTGTCTTTATTTTCTCCCGAAATTAAAGCAACTATACGAAGTGTAGAACGGCTCCTGATCAAGCGTAATAGACATTTGTTGTCTGCTATATTTAAAAATATATGTTGGAAAAATGATGTGCTACCCCAATATAATATATATATATATATATATATATATATATATATATATATATATAATTGACTCTACCGTCGATCTCGAGGGTGAGATGGATGACGACAACCCATATAGATAGATAGATAGATAGATAGATAGATAGATAGATAGATAGATAGATAGATAGATATTTGACGTATGAGGGTCAAGCACCTCAGTTCCGAAAACTGAAAAGCCAGACACCTGTATATATGATTTGATTATAGTGGTGAAGGGTTTGTGTAGAACCAAACACAATTTTTGAAGAGTCGAATCCAAAGACCTATTTCAGTCAGTCGATGTTTATTAATAATATTTACAAGACTAAATTATACGAAATAGAACTGTCTTTGAACTTTCTGCCCTGATAGTAAATGTGCAAATACGAAAGCTTGGTCCAATGTAGTCTTTATTATCAGCGTTGTTTCTGTCTATCGGTTTATTACTCTTTGTTTTAGGACACCAAAATCTTGATATATATTCTCTCTCTCTCTCTCTCTTTATCTCTCTCTCTCAATAATATATATATATATATATATATATATATATATATATATATATATATATATATATTATGAACATGGATATTATATTCCAGTCGAATCCATTACATTCACTTACGTGTCAATACCATTGGGAAAGGTGTGAATCCTCTTCTTCCCCCTCCAGCTATGGGTAAATAGTAGAACAGACAGGGTTCTATAGCCTTGGATGGCAATTGGTCTAGGAGAAGGACAATTCTGAATTCAAAACCTGCGGAGGGTCGTTTGGGGACCTTGTGGCACGTTGTGCACCAGGTCTCTGTATTCGGCCCTTCAAAAAGTGTGAATGGTCCTGCACGAAAATATAATCAAATCTCATGTGCTGTTGTCGGGCTCTCGGTTTCCTGGAAACTGACCTGCTTGACCCTCATACGTCGAATTCGACTGGAGAGTCGAGAGTATATATATATATATATATATATATATATATATATATATATACAGTAAACCCTCGTTTATCGCGGTAGGTTGGTTTCAAGACCGGCCGCGATAACTGAATTTCCGTGAAGTAGGACACCATATTTATAGTATTTATTTAACGTGTATTTGGACTTTTAAAACCCTCCCTGTACTGTTAACAACCCACCCATTACAGTACTCTATTAATAACAAGGACAACTGTTAAGCAATAACACTTTAGATTAAAAACAAATAAAGATTGTTACTGTATTCAACACGAAAAAAGTTGAAGTAGAATTTAAATGATGATGATGATGAATTTACTGCACAGTAGAAATGATGATGATGAGGCTGATGATGACTTCTACTGTGCAGCCGATAATTGTATTTTACGTCTATTCAAACGGCTGTGACCTTTCTATTGTTATTTTACGCTTGTTTTGTTGTCCCTAGACCAGGAAATAATATTTATTATTAATATTTTAATGAAAAATTTTAGGTGTTTATTTTTTTTAGAATTTTCCAGAAAGTCCGCGATATATTTTCTATCTATATATATTAAAAATCCGCGAAGTCGTGAATCCGTGATAGTAGAACCGCGAATTAGCGAGGGATCACTGTATGTGAATATCTATCTCTATATCATTGCGTCTCGCTCTATTCCCATCTATCTATCTATAAATCTATCTCAGTATGTTCACATGTATCTACCTAGTTATTGTGTACTTTTCATATCTATATCTTTATCTCCCCTCCTTCTCTCTCTATATATATATATATATATATATATATATATATATATATATATATATATATATATATATACTTTTCTATTTACATATTTTCTTCAAAATTGGTTGTAATATATGTAAGTTATAGATTTTTCAAATCTATCTCTTTTTCTACCTGTCTCTCTCTCTCTCTCTCTCTCTCTCTCTCTAATCTCTCTCTCTCGATATATTCAAATATTTCACAGTCTTTTCTCATCTATCTATCTATCTATCTATCTATCTATCTATCTATCTATCTATCTATCTATCTCAGACTGTTTATTATCTATCATTGTTCATATCTATCTATCTATCTATCTATCTATCTATCTATCTATCTATCTATCTATCTATCATTGTTCATTATCTATCTATGCATACCAGTCTATTCATATCTATTATATATCTCGCTCAGTCTATCCACATCTATCTACCTATCTATTATAGATTTTTCATATCTATCTCGTTTTCTACCTCTCTCTCTCTCACTCTTTCTCTCTCGATATGTGCATAGATATTTCACAGACTTTTTCTCATCTATCTATCTATCTATCTATCTATCTATCTATCTATCTATCTATCTATCTATCTATCTCAGTTCACATCTATCTATCTATCTATCTATCTATCTATCTATCTATCTATCTATCTATGCACATCTTTATCTACAATGACATGTGTATACCGTTGTTTCTACATCAGCAACATATGATAGATGAAAGAACATACAGTCAACGACGAAATTATTTGTATACCCATCAATTTGGAATATTTTTATTCATTTCTCAGAATCTAATGCCTGTATGATGCTAGATTCTTTTAAAATTATATTAATAAGCAAGAGAAAAGGAATATAAAACTCAATTTTCAGAACAATAGGTTAAATACAACAAATTTGACAGGCGAATTATGCAAAATAGGAAAAGACAAAATTATTCGTACAGTAGAAAATATCGTTTTAAATTGATTGATTATTGTAAGTATAAGTAATTTACATAAAAATTTTATCGATGAAACTTTCTAGACTATTCAGTAGAATATTTATAATAATTCTAGCAAAAACATCACGTGGTGCATAGACTGTCACCATTACTAATCTTAAGTTAACAAAACAACGGAGAAGACAGAGGAGCTTAGCGTTGACTTGAGACAGAGCATTGTTAACTGCTACAAGTTCGAAAATAATAACAGCTCTATTTGAAACTGGTTAGCTATCCCTAGATCTATGGTACAGCTCGTTATGAAGAAGTTTAAGCAGTTTGGAAAAACAGAGAATTGGCTGGGATTGGAAGAAAACCCAAATTGTCACCGAGAACTGCAGGAAAACAATGTCGCGAAATATTGTTTTGAAAGACATCGTCACAAGTTTGGATACGATGTGTATCAGCAGAAGTACTGGCACTATACCACGTTGTTTAAATAGAAATGGGTTGTATGGAAACCGACCAAGATGAACCCCTCTTCACAAACCATGTCATATTGTTGCTCAGTTTAATTTTGCCAAAACATCTTTGCACAAAGAACATTTGGCGCAAGAAAGTAGAGGCTTCCCGCCAAAGAACACAGTGGCAACATTAAAACATGGAGTCGACTCGATGATGTTTTGGGGTTGTCTTAGCTCAAATTAATTTCAATAAGAGGAATAATAAAATCTATTGACTATATCAAAATTCTGGTCGGAAATCTACAACTTTCAGTGCAAAATCTTCATCTTTGTCGGTGATTTATTTTCCAGCAAGATAATGATCGCAAACATACGTCTAAATCAATGACTTGGATCTATGGCAAGAATTGAAAGAAATATAAACAGATAATGAAGAATTGAAAGATCGAATAAATCTTCGGTCCGCAAAATCCTTGAGGAATTAGAATGTGTAACAAATTAACAATGGAAGAAAATCCCTGAAAATACTTGTTTAAATCTCATCAAAAAGTTTAGAAAGCGATTGCAGCAAGTTATAAAGATATGAGATCATGCTATTGATTATTCATATTGGACAAATGGTTCAATCTTTTCTATTTTTCATACTGTATGAATAATTTTGTCTTTTCCTATTTTTTATAATTTACCTGTCAAATTTGTTGTATTTAACCTATTGTTCTGAAAATTGAGTTTTGTATTCGTTTTTTGTGCTTATTAACATATAAAAAACTGGCATCAGACGGTCATTAGATTCTGAGAAACAAATAAAAATATTTAAAATTGATGGGGGTACGAATAATTTAGTCGTTAACTATATTTTCAGAAATCTATCGGTAAAAAACCAACTTAATCATATTTTACTGGGGATACATAAAAAGTTGTCTTTGTCTCTGTTATTTTGGACTTGGGACGAAAACCAGTTGAAAGCGAATGGAAGATTGACGTTCAGTAGCTTAGAGAAGTTGATCATGTGATGAAAACAAGATTTAAAACCGCCTTCTTTCATACATGAAGTTGATCAGCACTGGCGTTTTAAGATTGATTAAACGTCTGCAGATGCCTGACACCAGTGAGTGAGAGAATAAACGGTAGTGACTCTAGCAGTCGCAGTTGTAACGTCTGTCTTTCATGGTTTCCATTTCGTTTGAGCTGTGCTGTGAGGCTGTCGTATGAACCATACGACAAACACTTTTAGACGTCCTATTCTTTCGTTACATGTGAATGTGATTTAAAACATACAACACACAAACACACACACACACACACACACACACACACACACACACACACACACAGAGAGAGAGAGAGAGAGAGAGACGATGCTCGATTTTCTCTTTTCAATTCGAAGATTGGCGTAACACAATCTTTCTTAACCTATTTCCCAGACTTTGTCACTACAAACGTAGTAAATTTCAATATCAGATATAAAAATAAAACAGTTCAATTATCGGCAAGCGAATACACGCATAGATAGTAAAGATTACATTTTGCCCACTAAAAAGAACAAAAACGATCGATTTGGGCATTTTCAGAAGCTAGATGCTTACGTCATGCGGTATTTAAAATCAACTTTCCTAAAAAGTGGATCTAATTCCGCGAAACTCATAGTAGTAACCAAGATGAGTGAAAATTTAATTTTATAAATCCCATATATATATTATATATATATATATACACACACACACACACACACACACACACACACACACATATATATATATATATATATATATATATATATATATATATATTAACATACAACGTGTTTAGCACGTGCGATACCCTGTCTTCATCAGCCGCCGACCAGGGGTGATCTCACGGTTTCGGTGGCTATGGCGGGACCGCCACCCCTGGCGCCACCAGCAGCATTTGTCACCAGGCAGGGTGAAAAAAAAATAAAAAAAAAAATAATTGATCGTTCCTCTTTGCAAGTTCTTAATGAAATAAATAAAACGATTGTTTCTCTTTGCAGCTTCTGTCCGTAATGAAAGTTCCTGAACGCGTTTGCCGTTATTGACGCGCTAAAAAAAATCGTTATAAACGGCTATGCAAATATTTCACCTGCGCATGTTAGGTCGTGATGATGCGCGCATGTTTGATCACTTTTCAACTTTCCTTTCTAAATTTGTCGTCGATTTGGTCGTTTTTCATCTTTCTATCTTCTCGATTACTGGTTCAAATGACTCAAAGCAAACGTCGTATATTATTCTACAAAAGGAACTGATCTTTTGCCCTATATGTGAATTTTAAGATTGTTATTAAGGATAAAAGAAAGCTCTTTGTCAAGATTAGTCCAAACAGTCTTCTGGTTACCTTTGGGCCACTGTATTCTTGGTTTACTTAGGATTTCTCCAGGGTGCTGTCGCTCAACGATGGAATCCTGAACGCTGTGGGTGTATTCAGATTCATAATCCCATCACTCGATTTACATTCTCCAATAGGAGAATTACGTTGTTTGCACCAGCGTGCCTTATGGATACGTAAACCGCGTAAACCGTTGAATCTTCTGCCGCAATCATACGTTGTAGCCGGGTCCATATACAGGTCGGTATATATATATATATATATAATTTATTTATACTATTTACATTTTTCGAACTGTTGTCCTCATCTTTATTGTCATATCCACGACGTTTCGGCCGTTGTACGCTCCGACCTTCTTCAGGCGATATACATTAGAATTTCGAACCGAACCCCTTATTTAGTCTCTCAGGGTATACTTTTGTAGTTCCATGTGCCATGCCTTTTTTCCTTTAGTAACTCCACTCTACAAGTCTTTTCGTTCATCTCTGCTTTCGTTTATACGTCCCAAAATACACCCACTGAACTCCTAAAGAGTAAAACACCCAGTGCATAAAAGCATTGATTGAACTAATCCAGTGACCGGAGGAATTCTCAGTTCATAGCCTGGCCACGGCAAAGGTGAACAAAAAATTAGAGAGTTGAGTTACTAAAGGGAAATAACTGAAACTGAGGTATCCAGAGGAGGCATGGCACATGGAATTAGAATAATATATCCTGGTGGACGCGATAAAGGTTTCGAATCGAAATTCCAACATATATCACCTGAAGGAGGCCGGAGCGTAAAACGGTCGAAACGTCGTGAACATGATAAAGATGAAGACAACAGTTTGAACAATGTAAATAGTGTAAATGGTTACGATAACTCATCACAGAAATATAGACAGACGCAAATATACCGGGTGTAATAGCAAAATTATCCAATTGTTAGATTAAGCATTGAACCGTTCTATCTTAGAAATGATTAAAGATATCTTACTGGAATTCTCCGAGGTTTTTATAAAACTATAAAACTCTACTTTGAACAATAAGAATGTATTTAGCTCTAAGTTCAAACATGCCGTTTTGACCTCCTGATCAAGTGTTTTTCTTTATTGTTCCCCTTTATTTCAAATTCTTGAATGGACTTTAAAGATGGAAGCCAGATTATGAATGTTGGTACCATTACTGAAGGTTTGAATGATCTTTTAAACTCACCATTGCTCGGTTGGGAAGATTGTGTTTTATCCTGTTCGCTTTCTAGTTGAATAACTCAAATGTTTTTTCACTGATTCATAGAATATATGGTATCAAGATGACTCAACGTCTTATCAGAAAACGTGGAAAAAAATCAATTAGTTTAGTGTTTTTTGGGTATTAAACATTTTTCGGGATGAACAATTACGTCCTGTTACACGACTTGGACAATTTTACTGTTACACCCGGTATGTGGGTGGGTATGAAAGTAGTAATGGTAGATCGTTAGTATTTGAATAAGTAAAGAAGTATAAAACTTTTTATCCCATATTAACTAAAAACGCTTTTTTAAAAATCAGTTTTATTGCGATTTTCTACTTGATGTTTATGTGAATTAGGCTCCTCAACCCAAAATAAAAAAAAAAAAAAAAGAAGAAGCGAGAAAGACTACACACAAGTGAAGAAGAAATGAAGGTCTGCTTCTCGTACATTCAACCAAAACTTGAAGAAATCACGAAAAACAACAGGAACAGCTCTCACACAAAGTAAGCTTCAAAAATCGGTGTATATAAACATTAAAATAAAGTTCATATTTGAGTGTGTATTTTTAAATATATATATATATATATACCGTCATCCACAGACAGACTGTTTCGCAGCTCATCAGGGTGGCTATACATCCGGTTGCCTCCAGCTAGGGTCGAAACCCGACTGAACTGGTGTCAGTCGGAGATTCTAACCATTAAGCCATCGGCGCCGGTAGGTAGGAAAGTT